AGGTCTCACGTCATGAGCTTTAGGCTGTGGGGCTCACTGAGTTTACCCAGAGGCCCGGAATTCGGGCCCGTTTCTGGAGCCTCTAGCATTGGCACAATTACGGAAGGCTCAGAAAACGGGCCCGTAGTTCCTTTTTGGGGATTACCTTGTAGGATTCTATAAATGAACCCCCAAAAGAACTACTTTGGGGCCTTTGGGTAAGTTCCAGAGTTCCTGTTTCAAGGCTTTCTCTGGTCTGAGGCATTGAAGCGCAAATCGGTCTTTGGCCTGAGTGAAAAGCCTCAGTGACTGAGTTCTAGACCCAGGGAACCTACCATGGCCGCTCCCTGGTTTCGGGCTTGGGGTTTAGGGTTTTAGACGTCTTCCCGCGCAGCAACTGCTATGCAAACTTGGTGGCACCTCGCGGCGGCACGGTTTAGCTGCTGCATTGGTGCAGCCGCAATTTTCTGTTACCCACCCGCTGTGACAGTCAAACGTCACGGTTTGGGGCTCACGCCCTCAATTCCCACACCGATCGGGCTTTGCAGGAAAGTGTATGTGAGGAATACCCGGAACCCAAGGCCCAAATCCCTACAAGGGGAGAAGCAGGTTACACGTTCATACTGACCGCTAACCCCCGCAGCCTGTCTGCGGAGCCGGAGCCCAAGCTCTAAACCTGAAACCCTTTCACCCGGGTGGCTTGGCATGTCCTTGATGCTGTCAGCATAGAGAAACAAGTCGCTTCCTGGCCATCGCCGGGGCCCTTTCTCCACTGGAGTAGGGTTCGTGGCTAAGTTGCTGCTCGTTTAAGGTTCCAGGCTGCAGGGTACATGGCTACACGCTTTCAAGCTTTCGGGCGAAAGGACTAGGGCTTCAAGACTCAGAGAGCATCGAGAGGCCAGTCATAGGCCTGCATTTCGCGATTGAGCGTTTAGGGATTGAGGGCCAAGTGTTTAGGGTTTACGGATCCATATTTCGAGTAGCTCTAAAAGCACATCAGGTTATGTAGAACGATGTGGCCACATCTGCAGGTAATCGATACAGCTTTCGTCACGGACGACTGCACAGGTTATGTTGGCGCGTATAGCGGCGTTCGCATTATGTATGCGCTTAGTCTAAGGTGCTGCTGACCAGCTACACGTCAAGGGCTTGACTTTATGCACCAACGAACGTAGGACAGCTGCAGGAGCCAGAACTAGAATCATAAAGATCTTGCTCCACCAAATTCCGACAAAACTTTTGAACCCAGTCCTCCATGATGCTGAAGTTCCCGAATTAAAGGCTCGATGGGTTTCCAGGTGCAGGAAATACAGTCCAGCTAATCAGAAAAACCAGACACGTAACCTACTCAATCACCCGCCTGTCCACCCGAAACCATCTAATTTGGCAGGATCCTGCTGTCCTAGTGCCCCGAACGCTTAAATCCTAAACCACAAAACACCAGGGCCTTTTCCAGACTCCTTCCCATCCTCCGTCACGAACCCAAATCCTTCTGCATTCCTGGGCCGACTGTGGCGTCGCAATGATATAGGTAGGGGCCTGAATAATCACAATAGGGCTTTTGCGTTTATTGTACCGTAAGTGTAGTAGGGAGCCCCCAAAATAGCATTGGTAATTATTCAGGCCCCGGTATCAAGGTGGAGGGATATGGGATGTGGGTTTACCGCTTGGGGAGGGCTTCGTGGGGCTTCATGATTTTCAGAAAATACGGGATTATCAGCACTAGCTTGCGGGATCCTTATTAAAAAAAGCTGACCTCAAGAAATTCCGACCCGGGCTTTTGGGGATCAGGTCTGGGGCTTAGGATGCAGGAATGAGGGCTTTGGGGTTGAGCTTGCGGGATTAGGCGTGCTGTGCGGCTTTTGGACCGAGCTGCCCCGGCGCTGGGCTGAAGATTTCCGTTTAGGTTTAGGGTTTGGAATATGACGTTTAGGGTTCAGGGCTTACCTCTTGCTTTTCAATACTCAGCTACATGGCTGACAGCGACGTATCCGCAGCTGAAGATCTTGCTTAAACTAAACCCTGGAACACACACCCGTGATTTTCTAAAACTTCTAAACCCTGACGCCCTACCGCCCCAAAGCCCTAAACCGTTACCCGTTGTTGAAGCCCTTCAAAAAGTATAGAGCCCGTCTAGGAAGCATTGTGAAAGAAGAAACCTGCATCCACTAGGGTACATCAATCCCAAGCTTTCATCCCTACCCTGCAGCCCTCAACCCCTAAAACCAAACTCTACACCCGGTACCAACAAGGCGAAGCCCCCGCCTCTTACCCCTGGGCGGAAGGGTCCAGCTCGCGACGATGCCCGTTACCCTGACCGGGTTTGGGGTTCTGGGTTTAGGTTTTCTGGGTTTCGCGCTTAGTGGTCCAGGGTTTTAGGATGAAAGGGCTCGGGATGTCGAGTTGAGCACTTGGCGGTTTTGGGGTTTAGGGTCTCGGGTTGTTGGGTGCTTTGGCGCGAGGGCTTGCGGCTGTGGCGCTTGGGGGTTCGACCCTTGGGTCTCGGTTCTCGGGCTAACGGGCGGGTTCAAGACCAAGAGAGTCCGATAGTGGCTGTCTCTGAGAGCTTATATCTCTATGTGTACATACATACATACATACATACATACATACATATGTAAGACTAAATGACAGGTGTGTGTGTAGATATGCATATATATATAATATATATATATATATATATATATATATATATATATATATATATATATATATGTATATGCAGATGCCTAATTACATATATATATATATATATGCGTGTATATATATATATATATATACGTGTATATATATACACATGTATATATATACATACATACATATCTTATAAACACACGCACTGCATGCATAATGAGGTGGCCATTCGAGTCTGTCAGGGACACAACCTGATCAAACGTCAGTGCGCACACACAACAGGAAAGAAGTGAAACAAACTTAGCACTGACATCTGACAACAGGATTGACGCGATAATGTCATATCGCATGGCGACATGACAGTCTAAGCATAGTTCAGATGTATAGCTGTAGTATGGAGGTGTTCCACACATGCAAGTCGGAAAGACCTGGCAAAACTTGCTGTAGACCCTTGATTAGTTAGTGCAATCCGCCTCAATAAGCCTTATTAGAATGCAGGCCCGCATGTTCAGACCTTCCAGAAAAGCGATTTGTTCATCACTGGTCGATGGAATCGGCGTTGAATGTCGCTAAACCTTAAACCTCACATTCTATACACCCTGAACCCTATAACCCTAACCCAAAAACCAGGCCCTTCAGTGTCGAGCAGACCGCGCTCGCAGGCCTAGAAAATGGGGCTGAGAACACATGGGGTCCAAGGGCCCATCTACAGCTGATGACAGGAAACTGATATAATGGTACTATAGGAGCCTGAATAAGTAGATTAAGATTTTGGGGCCCATTAGACTATAATCATAATAAGGAACCACACTCTCAACGACGATGCTATCCAAGAAATGCACTCACAATCCCAATCTGGCCTTTTTGCCATTGCACAAAGCCGGCTGAGGTGCAGATGCACTTGTTGAACTTAACAGGGTTGTGGCTTGCATGCTGACGTAAGACTTTGGCATGGGCACGTGCTGCTCGAAGGGAATGGCTGACTGGTTGCTATCTTCCCTTCATTGGTGATGGCTGTCCAGCATGTCCTTGACACGAAACTTCGGTCAAAGACACAAGGCCGCACCTTTCATTCGCCGGACAGGTCCTCGAACAAACGAAGAAACATGCCAAATAAATGCCAACGGTATATCACATCGAACAAGAGTTCGCTTGAAAGAACGTGTGCTCTGCAGAACTCTCCAACTTTCTGCTACATGCAAGATGTGTCACCAATACTTTTACGGATTCGAGCCTGCTGTTTTGGTTGATGGAAGTACCAAGACAAAACAACATGAGCTTCAGTGGAGTTTACACAAGTGAACACAAGACAAGCCCAGTCTGACTGCAGGCCGGCCCTAGTGACTCTACTTAAAGGGTCATGGGACTTAGTAACTAGGGTTAAAACTAGGGTAACTATATATACTTATAAGCACTTATAACCCCAATTAAGGTACTTATAACCTTACTTACTAAGTCCCATGATCCTTCAAGTAGTGTTTAGCAGTACTATCATAGGGGCCTTGACACTTAGAACACTAGGGTTTAAGCTCCCTTGTGTCACCTTCTATACATCTTCATATTACATTCAGTTCATTTTACGTAACCTTCTATACATCTTTATATTGCTTTATATTACTACGGTACCAGTATTGTGAGCAATCAGAAGTAGTCCAAACTAGTCTTCGCCATCCCCAGCACAACAGCCGCTGTCGCGGGTGGAGGTGGTAGTGGTGGTGGAGGGTTTAGGGTTTAGGTTTTAGTGTTTAGAGTTTAGGGTGGAGGTGGTGGTAGAGGTGAAGATGGTAGCTCAGTAACCATTATTGCGAAGCAGCAATAGCTATATCTCAGTCTTAAAGTGATTACGGCGGTACATGAATGTTGGGAACTGATAACAGTAGCGGCACGATTGGAAGCCTAACAGCGATATAGGTGGCAGTAGACGATGTAGTAGTATCAGGAGGAGCGACAGCATCAGCAGCAAACAAGAAGTGCGTGTCGTCCTTGTCTTCGTCCCCGTAGCAGCGTGGTAACAACTATAAGTTGAAACCGTAGTGGTAGGTCGCCACGACGACCACGACGACGACTACTAACCACTGCTAATGCAAAAGCAAGCCCTTGTCAACACATGAGTCCATGTGATTCACCATGTCACTGTCATGACCCGATAAAACCCTATACCCATAGGGTCCATAGTTCCTTTTTGGGATTACCTTATAGGATCCTAAATATAAGCCGCCAAAAGGAACTACTATGGAGCCTATGGGCAACCACTAGTTCGACTCAAGCCCCAAACTCTACCTAACCCCGACTAGTAGAGTAGGTAACCTTTAACCTTTTTTGGGTAGTATAGCCCCTATATTATAATCCCTATATACCCAAAAAGGAAACGCCCACCACCGCTGGGCCTTCAAGGCTTCGCCTTCCGGCACAGCCTCCATTCCGGTGCCTGCCGGAACCTTTGGGCCGGAATGCGAGGACCCGCAGGCTTAGGGCTTACTTAAAGGGGCATGGGACTTAGTGACTAGGGTTTTAATTAGGGTAACAATACTAATAATTACTTATAACCTCGATTAGACCACTTACAACCCTACTTACTAAGTCCCATGATCCTCCAAGTAGGGTTTAGGAGTTCAGGGTTTAGGGTTTGGCTGTAAGGGGTGCGGTTTTGGGGTGCATGGATTCGGGGTTATGGGTTGAAGGTTCAAAGTATCGAAGGATTTGGAAGGGGTAGCGAACCTGCAGACAACGTCACAGGTCTCAATGGAAAGTTCGAGTAGATTGTAGATGAAGCAGTGGAGGCATTTTACATCTGTGACCTACTATAGGGGCCTTAATAATTAGAATAGGGTTTGGGGTCCGGTTAGGTTCGAAGGAGCTGCGACCAATGCTCTCAAGCGATGCCTACGAGACCGTCAAATTATAGGGTTTCTGCTCATCTATGTGCTGTTCTTCATGAGCCGACTGCTTTGGAAACCCTGACACTTACAGCCTCAAACGTACATGTCAAAATCTGAGCCGAAAGCCACCACGCCAAGACACCCTAAAAATCTAAACCTCGGACTTACACCCCAGACCCCAACCCTATAGCGATATCAGGTCTGTGCAAGACATTCGGAAAGACTTGGAAAAGGGTTTCCGGAGGGCTGGGCTGAGGGAAGGGATGCTAAAGCTAATGTAGGGGCCTTGTAAAGTGCAATAGGGTTGCGGTGTTTTCCGCATTTCTATAGTCTACTATAAGGGACTATGAAGGGGAGATTGATCATGCCGGCGGTTCTGACCCTATAATCAGTTCCACCATTCATTAAGCATCCAACTAACAGTAAAGCACTCTCCTGAAAATGCTCCGTAAACTGTTCCTGTCCTTTGAAATCTAGCCTGGAATAGGGTTTCAGAAGCCAGAGCATGAGCAGGAGAAAGAGAGGAGCGGGAGCAAGAGCAAAATCAAGACCAGCAGCAAGACAAACAAGGGCAGGAGCAAGAGCAAAAGCCAAAGCGGGAGCAGGAGCCAGAGCAACAGCAAGATCTGCCAAAAGTGGCGGTCCCTTCGTGGTATCAAAAACACTGTTCGAGCTTCTATTGCAGGGTCCCGTCCTTTCATGTTCAGGGTATGAGATCAAGGCCCTTGCCCCGTCCAAGGGACTTGATGGCTTTCGGGGTATGCGGTGTTACCGTATCTAGCATTGAGGGCGTGGACTTTAGGGCTCCTTACTAGAAGTTTCTGCATGATGGCTTTCGATTCAAGGCTTTCAAAGTTTAGACTTTACAAGTGCAAACAGGGGCCTTGATACTTGGAACAGGGTTTTGGGGCCCACTTTTCTAGAAAGATAATATGGAACCATCAAAATAGTATAGGCAATTATTAGGGCCCTTTTGATAGAGTGAAAGGCTTGCAGAGGGATCACCTGGAACCTGGCAGACGTTGCATACGAGCTGCGCTGGCTTCGGGTGCCTTGGCAGGCCTGGCCGTGCCTGGCTGATGGGAACGGGTTTAGGGTTTGGTTGAGGGCTTAGGGCTTAGAGTTTGAGGTCTCGCTGGTTTAGCTAATCCCAGCTAGACTAAAAGTCCTGTCCTAGAACATGTGAAGGCAAAAGCTTCAAACAAAAAGTGAGGGTAGGTTACGGAAGCCGAATCCCGAATCGGGGTCTTGGAAAGGGGATCCTGAAACCTAGGTAGCTTCACCTGCACCTTTCGAAGCCCTTGACGATGTATGCGGGAACGATCAGGGCGAGGCTCATTTTGCTTCCAGAACCGGTTCCAAGGTTAAGGGTTCGGGTTGTAGGAAGTTGCAGGCATGCGGTCCGTAACATTTTTTTCGGTGGGGTTTAGGAAGGTTTTCCACTCAGGGTGAAAATCCGCGAATCTCCCGCCCAAACCCATAGGAACTTCCGAAATTCATCGAAAACTTCTGAATAGTACATAAACCCTATAAGCCCTAAAGTCCTAATGCAAAGGAACCCTCAAGAACAGCTCTGGAGGCCGCAGAAACCCTCACCCTCAGTCGGAGACCGAGGAACTCCACAAACATACCTTGGGTACGGCCCCCCCTCAGTAATAGTTGAATAGTCTTATGAAATAGTGGCCCTATTCTAGACTCTTACTGTATGGGGGCCGTACCATAAACATACCAGCCAACTCCTCTCAACAACAGCAGCCCCTAAACCCTGAACCCCTAAACCCCTAAACCCTAAACCCCGAAACCCTAAACCCCTAAAACCCTAAACCCCTCAACCCTAAACCCTAAAGCCCTAATCCCTAAACCCTAAACCCCTAACCCCTCATCCCTCAACCCCAGATCCGAACCCCAAGCCCTAAGCCATAAACAATAGAACAGGGCTTGTTCGGGGTGATCTTACGCTGTTTTTCGCTGTATAAGTATATAAGGGCCATAAGGCGACATGATTACTAGAAGTTTGGTAGTTGCGAGTGCGACTATCCTACTGTTTAGCATCTTACCTAAAATGCTGTAGACCATGACGCCTAAACCCTCAAACCCTTAAACCCTGAACCCCAAACCCCCAAACCCTGAAAACCCCCAAATCCTGCAGCCTCAACCAAGCCCTAAACCAACGCCTGGAGGCAGTGGTGGCTTCCCCGGCACGGAAGCCGTGGCACCTGCACTCTTCCAAAACCGCAGGGTTTTGGTTTAGGGTTTAGGGTTTTTTGGGCGGGGGGAAAAAGTCTTTAGGTTGGGTACAGCCCCATACAGTAACATCTTTTCTATGAATATTATCCAACTGTTACTGAGTGGGGGCAGTACAAAACTTTAGGGTGGGTGGCAGGGCTAAGGGCGTATTTGGCTCAGGGCTCAGGGCCTTCAAGGGGTTTTGGCGGTAGCAAGTCTCGAGGGGTAAGATTTCCGCAGCAGAGGTTGCGTTTTCATTCGGGGTTCGTGGCTAAGTGTTTAGGGGTTAGGCTGTTGGACTTTAAAATGACGAGCAAGGCCCAGCTGTTCTACACGCGTTGGCGAACCTCCTCTGAGACACGGGCCTGAGTGAACTCGGCAACATTGCTACCCTAAACCCTAAACCCGACCATTTGCAGCCCAAGGCCATGAACTAAAAACCAAACACTACCCGCCTCAAACTCATCCATGCCTTAAACACTTAATAAGCATGTGAAGATCTATACGCAAGGTTCCCAGCCTGTACCGTCTTCTGCCAAGAGAGCAGAGATGAGGAAGTCCTTGCACCGGAGATCAATCATCAGCTCTTTTTTGTTTGATAGGGGGGTCTTCGAAGACTGTTATTTCGGGCTTTTTGTTGCGACAATCCCGAACCTGCAAGACAAGAGAAAAAGAGCACGAACAGGAAGAGGAATGACTGCGGTGCCACAATTCCTCCACCTGGCTGCATGTTCCTGGAGCCAAACGACGAGGGTTGACACTGCTGCCTTTGTCCAGAGCTGCCATTTGCTTGATGCCGGTGTCCTCTGTAGCATACCATACTTGAGGGAGAGACGCAGAACATCTAAAACAGAGACACATGTATTTCGACATACTCGTAGGAAGACAGGCAAGTTCATACCATCAACATGGTAAGTGTGCAGATCGTTACTTCTGTATATATGCACGAATTCAACGTAAACAGCATGATCTCTATCCGTATGTATATGCCTAGTTCTTGTCTAACCCTTTATCCATCTTCGTCGCTCGCTCGCTCTCGCTCCCTGGCTATCTCTCTCCCTCCCTCTCGCTCCTTCGTCAGGGCATGAGGTCTCTCAATCTCTCTCCGCTCCCGTGTTTGATTGAGGTGTCCTGGGTTCGACCAGGCGAGACAGGATCTGGAAGCCTGTCCTCCAGATGGGCACGTCTGCATCTAATGCACGGTTAGCAAACAAAGCAGTGCAGCTTCATGCGAAGTGTAAGACAGCTGGCCACGGCCACAAAATCGCCAAAAACCTAAAACCCAAGGCCAGCTATCGTCGCCAGTCAAAGCTGTTGAGGTGTACAGGCTGGCCAAAGTTTAGCACACGACCCGAGTGTACTTGTGCAGATCCCCTGCTGTCTTCGAGCCATGTGAGAAAAGGTGCCTTTCCACACTATACGACCCATGCCCGAGTCCTTTGATGGTCGAGGGTCTAGGGCAATGAACCCGTGAGCGATAAGACTCCCAAAACTAAATCCACCAGAACCCGGTGCGAAACGCCAAGTTATCACACTTATGCGCATGATAATCTACAGATGAGCCCGTGCCTGTTCTCCGTATCACTCTATGACATCCCACATCCCGCATTGTGATCCAAATCAGATAACCATCCTGCGCGGCACCAAGCTATGTTTTGCTTCGGCGTATCATCTCAATATCTTGAGAAAGGGCAGCTTCTTGCTGCTCGCTACAGGTAGCAATCTCCTCGTCACAACTGGTTTCGGCCTACGCATGAAATCTCCAGCCCCCCAACGACAAAACAAGCTGAACGCATCATCTCTGATACAAAAAGTTCAAGGCGCGAACCTTAACAGTCAAAATCATGGTCCCTTGTTGGGTCCTTGATATAATCGGCACCTCATATGGGGGTTTCCGAAAATAGGGTACCCTAAAGAGTAGGATCCTTGTTATAAGGGGGTACCCCAAAAAGGGGCCATAACCTTGACCTCAAAAAAACACGTGCAAAAAGCTCCGACGTCTGGTTCGGGACTGTCCTCTGGTCGGGGCTGGAGATCCGACCTGGGATCCACTTGCCCTTGGCATCTAAGGACTCATATGTTAAGGCTTTTGGGCCCAAAGACGTTATTATATAAGGCTTTGGGGCTATTTTGATGCCCAGGGTTGTGTTCTGGGTTTAGGGGCAGGTCCGGCGATGTGATTCGATGTTCGTCGTCAGGGTTTCGGGCCGAGACTTGAGGCTTCAGGCTTTAGGGCTTAGAGTTCGAGGCTTTAGGCTTTAGGGTTTGGGGCTTTCGTGGGTGTTATCTGTTGTGAACTGCGCAAGAGAGTTTGACATTGGGGATTCGAGTGTACCGGAATGCTTCACATCCGCATCATCCGCGGGCCGCAGATGTTCGAAATCGGCCTAGGCAGAACCAGCCCTATACCGGACAGCAGCGAATGTAGTGCCCCGACTTGAGAGTTCCGCCGCATTTTGCAGCACCTCATGTAGACTCCGACTCATGACTGGTCCTTGAATGTTCACGCATCCTGCAAAGAACCGAAGCTGTAAAGCACATCGGAACCCTGGAAGCCACAACCGTCTAGAGTCTGCACCCAACAAGGGTTCTAAGATCGGGGACTTAAGAGTTAGAGTAGGGTTTTGGGGCCATGACACCATAGATATAATCAGGAACCCCTAGAATAGTATTGGTATTTATTTCGGCCCCTATATTACAGACCCGAAGCTACTCAACACGCCGAAGCGACCGAATGATCTTAAGCCGTGAAGTCCTCTTGTACGGTTCGGGGCTTATACATGGTCCCCGAAGTTTGCCTGCCCTGTAAACCACAAGCCCACATCCCGAAACAGCTCAAATGTTTATCACCGAAAACCCTACTTACAAGCACACACCACAAAGAAGACGAAAGCCCAGCCCCTCAAACCCTCAAACCTTGAAACCCGAAACAAAATCCTAAACCCCAAATCCCTAAACTCCTAAAGCGCCCGAAACCCCACAGGCCCTAACCCCCAAAATCCTACGCCTCCCCTGTGGGGGACTTAGTAAGTAGGTTATAAGTAGACTTCTAAGTGCCTTAAAAGGAACACTAAGTCCCCCGACCCTCCAAGTAACCCCCCAAATCCTACCGCCTCCCCTGTGGGCCCTAAACCCTAAACCCTAAACCCACAGGCCCTAACCCCCCAAAATCCTACGCCTTTTCTGTGGGCACCAGCTTAAGCTCTGCTCCGAGGTCGACGACCTTGGCCAGTGAGGCCTGTGATGGGGTCTGGGGCTCTTTGGGATTTAGGGTTTAGGGTTTATGGGGTTTAGGGGTTTAGGGTTTATGGGGTTTAGGGGTTTAGCTTAGGGCTTGTGGGGTTTAGGGGTTTAGCTTAGGGTTTATGGGGATTAGGGTTTAGGGTTTATGGGGTTTAGGGGTTTAGCTTACGGCCTAGGGCTTTGTGGGGATAAGGGTTTGCGGTTACGGTTGCAGATTTGGGGTGTTGGTTTAAGGCTTATTGGTTCTTGTGATGATATGGTCTTCCTGGATTTTGGAGACAGTTTCATGCGTTTGTGTCTATAGGTTCGTGTGGGGAGTTACCAGTCGCACTGCAACTCTGCAGCCACAAGCCTCTAAGCCCCTATGCCCCATGCACCTTCCTGTAAGGAGCACCGGCCTTCAAGCTCGTATGACAGAGACTACAGTCGGCCGCCCTGCCAAGAAACGACTGCTTGGTGACACCAGCCCAACATCTCTACCACACAAGTATTTCATGTGAAACAGACACGAGAGCCTCGACAAAAGAAACGTCTAGACGCACCCCTAAACTCGGAAGGCGAAAACCTGATCCCAAACTAGGCCATCTAAAGCCCTACCAGTTTGAGACCCAGAAATGCACAAACCCGATATCAGATCGCTTGACTGTATATACCCTGAACAATCGCCTGGCTTGGCCGCCGTTGCGTACCTACTCGGCGATTCGGGGTTTCAGGCTCAGGACCTTGCGGGCTTTGAATTCTCAAATGATGGGCCGTAACAGTTACTGGAGGAAGGTCTTTGCTTCATGGTCCCTGTGAGTGTCTCCGAAGCTCTTCTCCAACTCCTTGGTGCCCTACACGATTTGAAAGCTTTGCAAACACACTATTACGCAGCGCGTGCTCTTTTAACTCATAATAACTGGTGGTCCACTGTTCGGCATGTGGCGGGCATCCAGACTTGCCGTGAATGCTTCAAACTTAGGGCCAAACCCAAGCCCTCAACCTTCAGCGCAAAGTGTTAACCTCCAAATCTCGAAACCTTGAACTCAAGGCTTGCACTAACCATGCTCGCTTGGGGTTGGTGCTTCCAAAATGTTTGAGTGCTCGCTCGTTTGCGCCGGCTGATTGTTTGCACGAGGCGTGCTGCGCAAGCGAGCAAGCACGCAATGTTGTTAGAAGCACGCACCTCGAGCGAGCATGCATAGGATTCTTCATGGAATCTAACCGCAAACCCTGAACACCTCTGCGGCGAGTCTGAAGCCTCGATTCTGCATGCTCGCTAGGGGATGGTGTTTCTAACAGTTCTGGGTGCTCTCTGGCATGTGAGCGCTGCTCCGGCGCGCGTGAGAGCAAGCTCCACAACCGAGCAGGCACGCAGTTGTGTAGGGAAGCACGCAACTCGAGCGCGCATGGCTAGCGAAAGCCTTGATTAACTCAAAAAACGTGCAGACTCAACCCTACCAGCCCCTATACTGAAAACGTTGCCATGTTTTCCATCAAGCCCTTGGACACATAAATCCGAAGCCCTATAAACCCTTATCAAGTCTTATAAGCACTTTGAAAACACTTGTGCTTGGAGGGTCATGAGACTTAGTAAGTAGGGTTATAAGTACCTTAGAATTGGGGCTATGAGTAATTATAAGTATAGTTGCCTTAAGTATAACCCTAAGTTAATTAATTACTAAGTCCCATGACCCTTGAAGTAAGCCACCCTGTAAATCCAGTCCCTGGCTCACTGTCAGGAACCTGACTTCGGCTGCCGTCGCTGTCGGAGTACCTTTAGTACCATGGGTGCTTAGTGCAAGGCTCAGGGCTTAAGGGCTTCGAGGGTTTGGAGTTTCGGGATTCAGTGTAGGGATTACATAGGGGTTTACGGTTTAGTAGCTGTGCCGCAAGGGCGGCCGCCAAAACTCCAGGATTTCCGGTCTAGTCAAGGGTGCCCCACCTACAGCACCTAGAGTTACGGACGAGGGAAGACAGCCCACTGGGCTTCGGTTTCACGCTTAGCGTCTGTATCATGCTCCCACGGAAGAAGCCTCCGGACAACTTTTGTTTTTTTGCAACTCTGTGGCCACAGACCTAGGGCCTAAACGCGATCCAGCCTGAAAGAAGACACACTGCACTCAGCCCGAAACACCTACTACCGGATTTCAGATCCCGACATGCTAACTTCTAGATGTCAACCAACCTGGAAGGCCAAAAGAGTTCTCCCGAAACGCAGAAGGAGATCGATCCGAAGCGAACCTCAACACGTGTGCTCCGGGTTTTGATGTGGTCATAACAACGATGAAGCCTTAATGGTTTGCAGTAGTGATAGTAGCGTTTTGAACATGCAAGCAAGCATACGACTGTCATCTGCATTAACCAGTAGACGTTTATCCTCAGCGCAGGAATTGACCGGTTGCCTTCATCCATCTCCAGGGGAGGTTCTCGACCTGTTTGGGTTCCTGTAGGATCAAAACACCTTCACACATGCCAGGCTGCCTTTTCGAGGATGTATTACGCTCATCTCCTGTGTGATGCCACCCAGATCTGGGTACCGTCAAGTGTGAATCGCCCGAGCAACAGTAAATATCACATCGGTCTAAGCCCCCCAGAAGTTACTCCTCAAAGAGCGAAGCCCCTCAACGCCAAGGAAAATCTACCCAAAACCTGAAACTCTGAACCCTCATCCGCCTTTAAACTGAACTGGGCCAACTGCTGAAGCGAAGTGAAGAGCTGACTGATGTCGGAGTCCCTCTCCGCCTGTCTCCAGAGACGCGTTGTCGGAGAGCTCAGCGGGTGCAAAGCGCCACGAGTACGGTGTAAGGATTCATTCAGAGCTCAGATGTAAGGCATGAGAGTTCAGGGCAGGGGTCAGGCTTCGGATGCATAAAAGGGCTACTTGTGTGTTGAAGGCACGTCGCGGTCAGCACATGCGAAAACGATCTCAGGATGTTCGTTGCTGTTGGTTTTCGCCCCTTTGTCTCTGCTGTAGCCCCCGGCGCATGTCTACTTGCTTACACGAACGAACAGTTGCAGTATCCATAAGGTCCTTTGCACCATGACTTTTTGTATCCGTAACGATTGCAGGCGCTGTTGTTGATGCTCATGGGTAGCATTGCGAAACAAAGAGGGGGATGTTGGGAAGTAATATGGAAGCCTGAAATAAAACAAGGCCTCGGGGTATAACTAGTCTTTATTTTACAGAGGAACCCTGAAGCCTTTCCGGAATCATGTTAAAATCATTCAGACTTTTCCCTTGCTGTGTAGTCTCTTTGTGTTCAACGGGGTTAAAAACCTGCCACTCAGGCGGGCTGTGCCTGCTTTCTCAACATGAAACTTCCGAAACCTGAGATCCTAATCCTTCAGCCCAAGCCCTAAACCTTAAGCCTAAAAGCCCAAAAGCCTAAACCCATAGCCATAGCCATGAAAATCGACTCACATCGCCGGACCTGCCCCGGAGACTTGAGCGTGTTCTCCCACTCTCCACCTAGGCAGGGTCTCCCTTGAAGGCTTCTTCGAACAACGGTTCTTCCGGGGTTCAACAAGGTAAGAAGGGGTTTGGGGCGAAGATGCTTCGGATCTAGGGTTCAGGTTTCGGGGTGAAGCTTTCGGGTTTGGTCTCATCTGGCTTCCCTAAACCCTAAACCCTAAACCCTAAACCCTAAACCCCAAACCCGGCTTAGGTTTTGGACTTCGGAGTTTCGGAATGTTTCGGGTATGGGTTCGGAGCTTTAGGGGTTTAGGATGGTTTCGGGTCTTGGGCCACCGGCTTCGACCTTAGGCGGTCCGGCTTCGGTTTTGGGCTTCAAGTTTGGCATGTCGGGCTGAAGAGCTCGAGGGGAAACGTTGGATGGTTTAGGGTTCCCTTAACTGGGTTAGGATTCAAGGTTTAGAAAATTATATATGGACCTCGGAACACAAGCGGAACGATGAGATGATCCATGTCGTGGCAGAGCGCAGAGTATCACTACCAACACACCTAAACCGTAATTGAAGGTTCTAAGTTCTAAGATCTGTGTAACCCTAAACCATCATTGAACCTTCAAAGACCCCGAGTACCTTGCTGAAAGCCAACGCAGCTCCAGAACCCCCAAACCGGGCCAGGGACCAGGAGGATTGGCATCCTCCTTCTTTGCAGCTGCTGGCTCGGATTTCCCCTCAGTCCTGCGGTGGGGGGGGGAGGGGAGGGCGCTCGTCATTGGGGTTTGGGGCCTTGGGGTTTAGGAGTTTAGGGGTTTAGGGTTTAGGGGTTTAGGGGTTTCGGGGTTTAGGGGTTTAGGGGTTTCGGGGTTTCGGGGTTTAGGGGTTTAGGGGTTTAGGGTTTAGGACTTACCTTCAGATCTGGGACCAGCACCTCGAAGCATCTACCCACGGGCGGGGGCCTGGCTGTGCCGGTCTCCTCCACTGTCTTGTCGGAAACGGACGCCTGCACTGTGATCTATCGGCGCTCACAAGTATGCATAATTTATATATATATATATATATATATATATATATATTTATTTATTTGTTTATTTGTTTATATACATATATTTATTTATTTGGTTTATATATGTATATATATATACATATATATATATATATATATGTATATCGGTTTAGGCCATTGACAATTTTTACCGACGCGAGCAAAAAACGAGCTGAAAGTCGTGAGGGCACCGCATCATCCCGTGGCTCTGTCTACGAGTTCTCCCCAGAGGCCCCAAAGTAGTTCCTTTTGGGGATTACCTTATAGGACTCTATATATGAACCCCAAAAAGGAACTACTTTGGGGCCTTTGGGTACCAGGTCTCCAATGAAGAGCATGGAAGCATCGGCTGTACTGTAGGGTTTAGGGCCTAAGCTTACGGTGCTTGAATGCTCGCAGAGGACAAAACTGGACTCTTTTTCGCACGTCTAACGTACATGCTACTGTTGATGGACAAAATCCTGCATGACCCTAAGGACTCGAAACTATGGGAACTATGGTATATTCCTTATAATGCCAAATGCAGGATTTTGTCCATCAGCCGGGTTTAGGGTGGAGGGTTTATATAGGTTTAGGGTATGGCGGAAGCAACATCTCCAAGAGAATCAGCCTTGGGCTGACTGCCAACGCTGCCCTCGCAGCCCACCCCGAGGTTCGCATCCTTTTGGCCTCGGTAGCTTCATCTAATGTAGGGGCCCAAGTATAGGTACCAATACTATTTGGGGGGCTTCCTTCATGATGCAGCCTGTAAGTCGTACAATTTGTTCTGAGAATCCTTGTTCAACAGGGTGCACCTGTAACTCTGCTTCGCTTTGGTCGCCCCGACATTCAGTCCGCTCACACCCACAACCCTGTTCTAATCAATAATACCCCTGTCGTATCTTGCTGAAAGGATGTCATGATGGGGGCTGCTTGTCTGCCATGGACTGCTCAACAAAACCTAAACCTGTACCGGAACCGAACCTGTGTCCTTCTTGACAAAGACCTCTAGACTCTAGGTCTCGAGGTACAAAGTGGCTTCCTTCTCAGTCTCTGTAAAGCATATGATAGCTTCACAATCTGCAGCTGTTGTCAGACTTGCAGGTTTGCATGGGCCGTACCTAGGATGTGCAGATTTCTTCGCTGGAGACTCGTAAACTTCGCGCTGCTTGCGCCATGGTGCTACCACAACCAGATGGTAGGGTGACCACCAGGTATCCAAGTCATGTCCAACAGGCCCAACAGATCCTTCAAGTCATGGAAACAGCCCACCACTTACTCTCTGCGGTCAGCACACCTAAACACGAGTAAGCATCCGATCTTGAAACTGGCGACACAGAAAGAGTCAAAAGCATGATGCAACTCAGCAAGCCGCTGGATTTCTCGGACAGGACCGGCTCATCCACGGACAGTCCCTGGAAGCAGGTGCCAAAACGCGAAGGAATCATGATCTCTTCGCTGCAGGCGTTGAGGAACTGATGTTCGTGTGGTGAGCAAGCCGAATCAGACCGAAGGCATGCAGCCTGTCTCTTTCTCCTACTTCGAGGATCGTGGGACTTAGTAAGTAAGGTTATAAGTACCTTATATAACTGGGGTTATAAGTAATTATGAGTATAGTTGGAGAAAGGGTTTGGAAAGCAGAGGAACCCCTCTCATATCTGCTATGAGATTCGTGTCAGCGTGTGGCTTTGTAATTTTTGCCCTTCTGAACCCTCAACCCTAACCCCTAACCCCTAAACCCTCAACTGAACATGACAGCGCATCTTGGAGGGACGTGGGGCTCTTTATTTTTCTAACTATAGTAGAGTATACCCCAGACCCTATTCTACTTATTAAGGCCCCTATATTACTTGTCAAGAGATGCTTTGGGGACCAGAAAGTTGTCTCTGAACCTCTCCAACACCGACAGGCGCGGCCCCAAACCTAGCTTAATGAGCTTGGGATTCCAATGTGGAGTTGAGAGACCAACTCTATCAAACCTGAACACTGAAACCTAAACCTGCAACCCGAAACTGAGAAAGAACCCCAAAGTCCTATACCCCTCCAAGCCATGGATAAGAGTTAGAGTTTGGGGTTTATGGTTTGGCATTCCCAACACGCCTTCGGCAAGCGGCCTGCCGCAGTTTTCAACGGCATGCCGGAACCTCGGCGGGCTAGGGTTCAGGAGATTCTGCTTTCACCGTTACAATCACAACAACTGCTTACAGCTGCTGTAGTTGAAAGCCTGATCACGCTTATGACTTGAGTGTTCGGACAAAAATCATTAGTGTTACTCCTGGTCGATTGAGCTGATCGAGTTGATTGAAGAATATGTCGGAAGTACGCCTTCTTGCGCTACATAACGCTGCTTCTAACTGTATCATCATTCTTCTAATGGCTCTCTGATCGGGGTGGCAAGGGCTGTTTGGAACTGAGGCTCTCAGCCCCTGGGAGTGTCTGGGCGAACTCCACCGCGAGATTATCCTAAGCCCAAAGCCCTATAAATACTGAACCCCCTGCGACCCTAAAGCCGACATCCCTGACCCCGTAATCTCACCCTATACCCCAGAAAAAAGTCGAGCAGCTCTCTGCGGGAGCCTCCTCCACATAAGAGGCGCCAGCTGCCTCCTGACAAAGCTTATGACACGGTTTGTGGGTTTGGGTTCAGGCTCCAGGGCTTAGAGATCAACAAATAAAGGTTGAGAGTGGTTGAGGGTTTACAGTTCAGGTTCTCGGCCCTATGTAATTAGTTGTGGTTGAGGGCAGCACGCCTCGCATTTAGAGTTTCGAGTTCTATTCGGGGTCTGGATCGGCAGTCTAAGAAACATCTAGCATCTGGCCTAAGCCCTACCCATAGGCTCCATATTAGTTCCTTTTGGGGAGTACCTTATAGGGTCCTCAATATGAACCACAAAAAGGAACTACGATAGAGCCTAGAGGTAAACCCTAAACTTCCTAAACCCTATGAAGTCTGTAGGCTCGAGAGGCAGTTGGTGTCGGTCGATCCGACGGCGAGTGTGTTAGGAATGGGAAGTGTCGAGGCAATGAAGTCTAAAACGAAGCACTATACAGACTATACACAGAAAAATAAGAACATCATCGTCATCCTCCTCATCATCATCACCAGCGACACGACCACCATCATCATCGCCATCACCATCCTCGTCATCACCATGGCAACAAACCCTAACCTTGAGACGGTTCAGCCCTGTGGCCCTGAGCTCTTAAACCCTTGGCCAAGACAAAGGAAGCTTCACCAACAAAGGACCGATACATACATGCCATGTTGTCAATAGCTTACCTTTGTGGTCTCTAACTTAAACCAAAACAATGAGTATAAACGACCTTGTCGAAGCCAAGTGAAACGACTCTGCAAACCCCGTAAGCCCTCTAGAAACCTCATATACATCCTGACAGTGTACTCTAAACCTTCAACCCTAAAACCTATGCGCCTAATCCTGCAACCTCAAGCCTAATCCCAAAGCCTAAGCCAACAAAACTTAGTAGCGATTAAACCGAGCCTCAGGATCTGCCAAGAAGAGAGTGGCGGCTCCTGCACGCAAAGCTCGTTAGGTTTAGGGCCCGCTTTAGGCGCGTCAATATAAGGGGGTGCAGTATCGTACTATTATAGCAAGCAGCCCGAAGAAATAGTATTGATAACTATTTACGCTCCTGTATTAGGGTTTGGGGCTCATGCTTTCGAGCCGAAGGTCTGAGAGTAATATAAGCACATTCAAAGCTAGCATGTGGCCGGGCTAGTGGGGTTAGGGTTGATAACCCAAAATCCTAGCCAACAAACACGGCGTCGCTAACCAACCCGATGGAATGAAGAAACCACTTTCCTCCGCAGCCAAACTGTCCACTAAAGTTAGAGGAGTCTAAATCATTGCTAGTGGCATCCCCTCAGAGTTGTTTCCTTTAGCGTAAAAAGAAGTACCAACACCCTTTGGGTTGTTTGTTGCATGGGGCACACCGCAACGGGATATTCTCATAAAAGTACACTGGATGTTACAAAGGCAAGCGAAAGTAGGGGTGAGGTTCGCGGTGAAGCTAGTTGCCAGATCAATTAGAACGACGGCTCCCAGGATTCTTCTTGATGGGCTTAAGGCTTCTGATGTAAAGAACCACACAACTTGAGAAGAGCATTCGTCACCGAAACATTGCATTGATCAACCCTTAAACCCCACACCGTAAACCCTAAGCCTTCAACCCAAAACGTAAAACCCTAAATCTAAACCCTAAATGGGAGTTTCCGAAAATAGGGGTACATTATTTTGGAGCCCTTACAATAAGGATCCTATTTTTTTCGGGCACTATGTTAGGGTCCCCTATTTTCGGAAACTCCTAAAATCCTAGGGTGAAATCCCCCTGCCCTGGCCCAGGGCCTCCATCCAGGCAGCGAAGGGAAGCTGTCAGATCACGGAGGTCCGCTTTGAGGGTTCCATAAGGGGTACGTCGGTTGATGATATAAACCCTGCATTACCTTCAGGACCCTAAACTCTGGGAATTATGGGATATTTCTGATTACGGGCAATGCAGGATTTATATCATCAACCGTTTAAGGGTTCTGTATGGTGGCTTTGGGGGGGATAGGGGTCTCAACAAACAGATCAGGGTTTTGGGGTATACCATAAGTGGCGTACCTATGTAGGAACAGTACTGAGGCTGGTATTTATTCAAGCCCCATATCAGTGGGCATCGTGCAGTGTAGGCGTAAGGGGAAGGATCATTGCCATCATTGCCGCTGCAGGTTTCTTTTTGTTAATGGCCTTGCAGATTGCATGCGCCCGCTACAGGGTTTAGGGACTCGGGAGACTTACAAAGCTTTTTGCCATACTATATAGTGACTAAATACCGTCCACTCAATACTATATACTCTATACTATCATATTTTCATAGTATATGCGAAGTAGCTGCTGCAGAGGTTTTGGGCTGAGTAGCTGAAGGCCGTAGGCCTGTTTGTGGAGGTCAAAGGGTTCGTGGCCGACTTGACGCCCAAACAACAGGGGCTTCCATAATCAGAGTAGGGGTTGGGGGTTTAGGGTTCAAAGGGTTGTGGGATTGGGGGTTTGAGGGCTTAAGGTTTTTGGGGTTTAGGGCCGTTTAGCGCCCTCAATTCTTAGAATAGAGTTTGGGGGGGGGGGGGGGCAGGAAACAATATTATATATATATATATGTATATATATATATATATATACATGGAGGCACTCTGAGAGATAATGCTAGTGATTACTCAGGCTTGAATGCTAAGCAAATCCACGCCTCAATACCCTCGACCCAAGAATCTCAGTGTTTTGCTTAATAATCAGAATAGGGTTTTGGGGTACATTATACTATATAGCCATATAACAGGGAACCTTCACAATAATCTTGGTAACTATTTAGGCACCTATATTACCTACGAACCCTCATCAGTTGCAGATTTTTTGTTGCAGGACTTTCGCCTAAGGTAGCGACAGCCAAGTAAGGATCCCTTCTGATTCTGACGGATCCTCAAAGACCTTACCTCTCGGAGTTGTCCTTTAAGCCCTTTGAAAATTATCTACTATGGTTCTCTACAAAATAGTAGGGGAAATTAAACAAGATCCCAAAGGACAACCCAGCTCTGTTAGACGGCTAAGGCTCTCTGGGAGCCTTCAGGAAAGACATGGGAGTTTCCGAAAATTGGGGTACCCTATTTTGGGGTCCCTATAATAAGGATACCACTATTTAGGGTACTATATTAGGTTCCCCATTTTCGTTTTGACGTACCCTAAATATTAGGTGCCGTATTATAATAGGGACCTAATTTTGAGAACCACCCACATGGGGGCCGAGCCTTTGAACTCTGGCAGCATCAGTGCTGGCAAGGGCTCTGCCAGCTGCCTGGCCGACTCGTGCCATCGATCGCTCAAAGCTGCGAGTCGCACTTTATGGTTTACTTACCTTTGGTTAGTAGGGAATGGAAGAATGGTAGTAATAACCCCATTCCTCCATTCCCTACTAACCAAAGGTAAGCTTAGGGTGTGCTTTGTCGTCGAGACGCACTTTGAGGGCAGATCGTGGGTATCAAGAGCACGTGTAATAAAATTTCTCAAAATGGCGACTCGTACTGAGGCGCATGGAGCGAATACCACACAGAAGTTGCTCATGGCGTCAGTGAATAATGCTATGCTATGCTACTATGATGTACGAAAACCGAAACCACCCACGAAGAGAAAAAATCACATAGTTCAGTAGCGTTGCTGCCGCTTCTGCAACACTGTTTCGGTGACGACATCACTAAAGCTACAGGGTTTGCTGATATGGGAGCTTCCGAAAATAGGGGACCCCAATATAGCAACCTAAATATTCGGATCCTTATTGCAAGGACACCAAATAATGTACCCCTAGGTCTCGGAAACTCCCATATACTGCAGAAGCCTACACGACGGGCCTTCGATAGCCCATGGTCGCAGGCTGTGAGGGGGCCTTGGGCGTGCTTGGAGGATCATGGGACTTAGTAACTAAAGTTATAATTAGGGTAACTATACTTATAATTCCTTATAGCCCCAACTGGGGTACTTATAACCCTACTTACTAAGTCCCATGATCCTCCAAGTAGGGGATTTGAGGATTTGGGTTTGGGGTCGGGATTTCGCGCGTTCAGCGGATTTGGGGCTTCAAGATTTGAGGGTTTAGGGCTCCGTTAGGTCTTGGGTGCTTGAGGCATTAGGGCTTAAAGGCTTCATAGGGTTTTACGGTTCAGAGTTGAGGCTCTTTGGCTCGTCGTTTAGCTCTACCTTCGCGGACTGGCCTTTCCATCCCTAGCCCATGTCTGGTCGGGACCAGAGGTGGTATAGTATGCGACATGTACATATGTATACCGATATATATATATATATATATATATATGTAAATATATAAACATATATATATATATACATATATATATATATATACATATATATATACATACACATCCCTCTTTTTCTCCATCTCCAAAATATATTTGCTTTGTTTCTCTTTATGTTTTTGGCGGGACCTACAAAACGATTACTGCCGTTTCCTGCAATACTGCTTCTTTGCGAGGATGGGAGCCTTGAAGACACATACACATGACGGGCGCCTGAAAAGATCGTAGACAGGCACATGGGAGCAACACGGGGTTTAGGGCTAAGGCATCTTTGTAAACAAAACGGCATCCCATAGCAGCATTGCACCTTCCCCAAGTAATCAGATGACTTATACCTCCCAATTAACTAAACCCTCGACGTCCAACAGACCCTCAAAGCTCTACACCCTCTTCACCGGGAGACAAAACAGTTGAGACCTTCCATCCGGCAGCCTGGACCTCCAACACCCGGCAGCACTGAAACCCCAAACCCCCCCAAAAAAAGGACCCCCAAAACCCGAAGGCCGCGGTGAACGTCGGCGCAGAACCCTTCCCCTTCACCTTTCGCCTTCTTCCAAAACAGAGAAGAAAACTCCCCAACACCCCATTGTAGGCGCCTCAATAATGAGGGGGCGTATTATCTAATAAGGAACCCAAACAGTACTGATAATTATTTGGGCCCCTGTGGTGGAAGGTGGCCAGGAAGCCTGTGACTTGAGCAGTGCTCAGCTTCTGACAGCATCCGGGAGTCTTTGCGACCGGCCTGGCGTTGACGTTTAGGAATGTTGCAGCTGAGAGCTAAAGGTTCAGCTGTAAGGATTCGGAATCTGGGCGTTTAGGGTTTAGAGTTTAGGAGTGTAAGGAGTATCAGGATGAACACAACACTTCTTCAGGGGGACTATTCGAGTACATTCGACTAGAAGTGGACATGCAAGGGTTTTAGGCTTCAGGACATAGGACTTTCGGTCCGCAAGGAACTCTCGTGGCTCCCTGAATGCGAAAGGCCTCTAAACCCGAAAGTTAAACACCACGAGCCAAAGGGTTTTGGGTTTGAGATAATGTAGAGATGAATCGCGCCACCCTGTCTAGGGAGTGGATAGAGACGCTAGTAACTGCTAGTACTAGCTTTACATTGCATCAAAACTCCTTCAACAAAATAAACGCCCGCAAACCACGGCCAAGGCCGTGCAGCTGATAAACCGTTTAGAAAATGATGTAGGACTCAGCAAGACTCCTCGTGCTATCGCAAAACCTCGCAAGGAAATGTGAAGCCCAGGTATGCAAGCATCAAGTCCTCCACACCAAAACCCCAAGACTCCATAAAATCACATTCCACAGCCCCCAACTCAGATACAACTACACCCCAAACCCCCTAAACCCTAAGTCACCATAAATCCGAAACCCTAAACCCCGAACCCTAAGTCACCATAAACCCGAAATCCCCTAAGCCCTAAACCCGAAATCCCCTAAGCCCTAAACCCGAGGATTCCGAGTGCGGAGCCTCCCAGACGCACTGGCGACCGCGGCGACGGCAGAACAATCTGCCAGGTTCAGGTTGATTGGAGTCTCTGGGTGAGATTAAGGCTTAGGGCAACAGCTTTGGGGCTTTGGGCTTAGGGCTTTCGGGTTTCAGGCTTAAGGTAGGCTTATAAGGATCTTGGTTTAGTTTAGGGTTGAGGGTTTAGGGCTTAGGGTTTTAGGGCTTAGGGCTTAGGGATTTTTTGATCTATGCTGACGGTCGGACCTTTTTCCAGAGGGTTTTAGGGTTCAGGATCTGTCGGGCCACAGGGTCAGGTTGCTGTAGGGTTTATAATGACACGTATTGGGGTGTAGAGGGTTCTCAATTTACAGAGTTCAAGGGGTTTGAGGCTTCGAGGGTTTTACAGTGTTTAGGTCTCAGGGTTGTCGAAAAACTTTAGGGGAGGCTTTTGAACAGGCTTGAAATGGTATTGAGACGGTTCACATCATTTCAAGTCTACGCTTTGGGGTCAAGGGTTTGGGGAGGTGGGAATTGGGGCTTGGGTATTTAAGGCTTGGGTGGGTTCAGGGTTTGGGGCTTGAGGGGGCCTTCTGATAATCAGAACATGATTCGTGGGTATATCCTAGTCTACAGTAGCATACGACGAATAATACATGTTACCCCCATCGCCAGTTCCAAGAATATCGGCTTTAGGGCCTCAGGGTTTGTTAAGTTCGGGGCTGCAAACAAGGGCCGGGGTGTACCGGACCTTCAAAGTGGCCCTCAGTAGCGTCCTTATGGTGCTGAATAAAGGGTATGGGGAATCATGGAGGGTAGTTGGAGGGGTCGAGGTGTCCGTGTAACTTTTGCAAGATCCAGGTTCAAGGGCGCAGACTTGCTAAAATCTGGGCTTGTAGCGACGCACCGCTTTTCACGCAACACGGGGGCCTACAAAAAAAGAACAGGGTCTGGGGGTATTTTCTTACATACATATACATACATGAGGACCTTCACACCACTATAGCTACGTTGCTGCCTCGTCCTATTGTTGCACATGACAGCTCAGGAACCCTAAACCTTAAACCCCACACCCTAAACTAGCACTAAAGCCCTGGACCCCTACAGCCATAGCCAAACCCGAGACAGGGTTGAGGCTTTCTACTGATTGGCGCATACGGGGGCCATAATAACTAGAATACGGCTTTGGGGCATATTATACGATAACCACAATAAGAAGGAGCCCCCAAGATGGTATTGGTAATGTTTTAGGCCCCTGCATGAGTATGGCTAGTGCAACAGTTAAATGGAAAAAACCCGGAGCACAGCGACGTCATGTGCTCTTTGGAGCGCCAGCGCCTCTTCCGACTGGAGCTTCATGGCCTGCAGAACTTTTCCGGGAGTGGGGTCTGGAGTTTAAGGTTTAGCGTGTTAGGGTTTAAGGTTTAGGGTTTAGAGATAGGGGGGTTTAGGATCACTCACTAAGCCTTGACAAACGTCAATGTACAAACCCCTGTGGCCTACCCAGTCAAGTGAGCCCAAGTCCTAAACCCTAAACTCTAAACCCTGAACCCTAAACCCTAAACCCTGAACCCTAAACCTAAACCCTAAACCCCCAAACTATGAAGGGTTCATGTAACTGATGATTTCCACTCCTATCTGGAGCCTCGAGACCCTCGGCGGTAAACCCCTAAACCGTAATACACTCTATAAGCCCTAGTGACTAGACTCAGAGTTTGGGTTTATAGGGTGTAGAGTTTAATAAAGTCTCTTATAGACTCTAAACCCTATAAGCCCTAAACTCCTGAGGCCTAAACCCTCAACCCTAATAGACACTGAACCCTAAACCCCCAAAGCCCCAAACCCCAAAACGCTGAACTCTAAACTCTCATAGACCCTAGACTCTAAACCCTAAACCCCTAAACCTCTAAACCCTAGATTCTACTCTGCTACTACCTTAACCTACCAAACCCTACTTTTTGTAGATTCTTCTTACAACCCCCAATATGGAGTTCCTAAGGACCCTACAAGAAAAGTAGGTTCTGCTGGGTATAAGGTAGACTCGACCCAAGAGTAACCCTAGGAACAAGGGGTGCCCTTTTTGGTTTAAAGGGGGCTATAAGGGAGTTTTCGAAAATACGGGACCCTAATATAGTAGACTAGATAGTAGGATCCTTACTATAAGGGCCCCCAAATAAGGTACCCCAATTTTTGGAAACTCCCATAAGGGAACCCAACCCCTAAAAATACACTGCCCCGCTACTACTGCCCACACGGCCTGGCGCCGCAAAGCTTCGGCTTGAGACCGCAGCCCATCACCTGAGACAAAACTTTTTTAGGGTTCAGGGTTTAGGGTTTAGGATGTAGGGTTTAGAGTTTAGGGTTTGGTCTTCATTCATCGGAGTCTTAGAGGAGTGCCCTCAAAGGGTACTCTAGGGTTCTATAGGAAGGTACCTCTAAAGGGTACTATAAATATAAAGGTTCTATAGGACTATAGGAGTGCCTTGAAAGGCTACTATGGGGTTCTATAGTAGGGTGGTGCGGTGTATGCCAAGGGACCCAAGCTGCTAACTTAGAGCTTGATTTTGGAGTTTCCGAAAATTAGGGTACCGTATTTGGGGGTCCTTATAATAAGGATCCCACTATTAGGGTGCTATATCAGGGTCCCCCATTTTCGGAAACTCCCATTTCTTCAAAGGACGCCTGAGACTTCTTTTGCGCCCGATGCTAGACGCCGGGAGGCCGCAACATTCCGTGAACTTGAGCACTGAGGCCTGCCATCTCCTCTGACCAAACTTTGTTGAAGCCAAGCTTGCTGTAAATCGGAACATTTTCAGTTGCACATTCCAAATAGCATGGCAAAGAATCCTTCCTCGCCCACTCGAAGACCGGAGTGAGAAGGAGCTTTGACAAGCCCTTAGCACGATGGCCAGGAACGATACCCAGCATATGGATGTACCAGTGTGGATTCTCAGGATGATGCTGACTCACATTCAACAGCTTCAAGCCTTTAGCTTGCTCTAAACCAGCTGAAGGGAGTTGCCTCCAAATGCCAAAATCTGCCCAAGCCTGCTTCCTGGGTTGGCCCTTTAAAGCCCCTGAACAATTTTCGTAAATAGGATCCTATTAAGCCCAATAAGGGAACATATAAAAACATCCCAAAGGCCTACCTAGCGTCTCGTAGTGGGCATGTAAGAAGAAGCTCCGCTGTCCTCCTTGCGTGACAGGCTCCCGGCCCTCCAGGCTCCCTGGTGGGTTCTTGCTGAGGGGGATTAACATAAGGTACCATAATAAGGAAGGCATATTATTTACTATGGATCCCTAGTATAAAATAAGGTACCCTAATGAGGAAACCATACTATTTACCATGGATCCCTCATATAAAATAAGGTACCATAATAAGGAAACCATATTATTTTACTATATGTTACTATAGATCCCTCGTAATTATGGTAACTTGAATGAAGTCCCTTACCAAGAACCCAGCCTGGTGGATAGCAAATGCAAACGCCAAGGACCTCCTTTGCCTCGTTTTGTAAAGCCAGCGCATAACCAAAGTGATGACCTGCAACGACACCGAATCCAACGATGTTCTCAAGCACCTTGCACCGCAAAGGATCTGAGTGCGGCAGATGCTGCAGGACAGAGCTCTTCATAGGTTCACCCGGTGTGCTGACATCACCGTTCCATGAGTTCATCAAGGCTGGGATGAGGACTTTTGGGTCAGAACTGTTCACCCACATTGCTGGACCCACTTCTGCTGTGACCTCTTTGGGTTGGCACTCTGCTGCAGGCATCTCTTCTGCACGTTCTCGGGCCAACTTCCGATACCGCTCTTGGAAGGCAGTTGATGTGGCAAGCTCCAGCAACTTCCTCTGCTCGGACACGTCGTCGGAAGCAAATCGCCGCAGTATCTCCTTGCGTGGCAAGGCCAAGACAATCTCCGCATCAGCCAAGCTCTGCAACCGGAAACGCTGCATGAGCTCTTTTTCGTCACTTGCAGAGAGCACCATTTCAGGCAGGGGCATGCGGAAGAGACGGATGCTGATAAAGCTCCAACCGATCACACCAGCGACACCCACTGACCGCATTGGAATCACATACCGCTCGATTCCAGCCGCATCGTCGAAGGAACCCATCCATACGACCATGCCGATAGACATGGGTATGAGAGATCCAAACATGTAGACAATGCCCAAGCCTTGCAGTATTCCGAATCGATGCGGCGGTGCTATGAAGGCCATCCACCTCAACAAGTACAATATGAAGGAATTCATGTAAAAGGCAGAGCAAGAGATACAAGTAACCTGGGCATTCCACGTGGGAGTGTCCAGAAGAAACAAAATCAGCAGGATGGACAGGATATTTCCAAGGGCAAGTGCCTGCATTCCAAGGCAATCCACCATAGTTCCGATGAGTGAAGTGCCGAGAGCTCCTACGCAGGCTGTGACTTTGGCATACATGTCACCAAGTCTTTCTCCATCTGCTTTGCTGTGGAAGAGCTCTTGGCCAAATGGCACTGCTTGAGATGAGTAGGCAAACATGGAGAGCTGGCCTACGCCTATGACAAGGACCATCCAGAAGTTTTCCCTGTTTGTTTTCATGATGCTATGACCGCTCAGCACTGCTTCTCGAAATTGCCGCCACTGCACTCCTAATGGTCGTGGCACAGGAATTCCGAGAACACGCTTGGCTTGCTCGTAAAACTCCGCCTGGCTGGGGACAGCGAACCAGCAAAGTCCTGCAGAGCCACAGCCAGCAACTGCATAGCACAGCAAAGCAATGGGAAGAGACAGCTTGAAGGACTGCATGGCCAGCTTTAGCAAAACTGGAAGGAGGGCAGCCACTTGTATGCAGCCGTTTGAAAGTGCGACGATCAGTGCTTGCCAGCCTGGTAGGTGCCACAAGAAGCCATAGAAAGCAAAGTTGTTCACCAAGCTGCCCATGTCAACAATCACCACGGCGAGTACGAATAAGATATCTCCGCGCATTGCCGTTGCAACAGCCAATATCATCACACCTACACTCAATGTCAAGGCCCCAACAATTCCACATGCGCGTGCTCCAACAGAATCTAGCACCATGCCACCAGGCAGCATAGCAACGTAAATGAGCCCCCCGAGCCCTTGCAGGACTCCTGAGATTGCCAAATACTGCTCCTTGCAAGGTATTGAACCATCTCCTTTGCACGTTCCTTCATACATCCCGGCCTCAGCAAAAAGGTCGTTGAAAATGACAGCTCCGGGAGTTATCCCGCCACAAATGATGGCTGCCAGCCACGTTACAAACAAGCGCAAGAAAGACGAGGTTGAGGCACGTGGAATGCTTTCCGGCTCATCCTGCACATCTGAGAGCAGCAAGGCTTGTTGCTCAGACATGATCTTCTCGGAGGCTGCAGCGTGGCTTGATTCTTGGCAAGATGTCAGAGCATCGGCACCTGTGCCAACCTACAGCCTGGAGCGACCCTATGAAAACCAGAGAAACAGACCTTATCTTGCTGTCCAGCACCTCCCCTTTTGGCAAGCATTCCCTGTGAAGAAGACATGTTCTACAAATAGTTACGGTAGGGGGAAGTGGTCTTGGAACTGACCGTAGCTTGGAGTTGATGTGACCTCGGGAAAATTGCCCGGATCTCTGAATGGCTATGTAACGAACTTCCCTGCGATTTTGATGGCGATAGCGAGATGCTGCTTCATTAGACCTAAAGGCAGTTGGTGAGTGACAGGTTCTATAGCTCCTGCTACGGCTCTCCCTGGTTGACAGCTTGACTTGATGTCCCTCTAAGCTCTGAAGTCTGCAGCTGATTAAGGTAGAAGCCAGAAAGTTGGAATATGATTATCCTAAACCCTTTATGGTAAATTATAGGGGATCCTACCCTGAAACCATATTCCAACTTTCTGGAGTTCCCTTTCTAGTAAGATCCCTTATAGATCCCTTCAAAGGAACCATTATAAAACCCTACAATTATAATACCCTTATTCCATATTCCAACTTTCTGGAGTTCCCTTTAAGAGGATGCATCTTTGTATATTTCATTTGCAAAGCTGGGAGCACCTAGGACTACAAAAAGGGAATAAGGGTACTACTGGGCATCCTAGAGCTATGAAGTCTGCAGCTGATTAAGTGGATGTATCAGTATTCCCTTTATAGGACTCTATATATGACCCCAAAAAGGAACTACTTTGGGGCCTTAGGGTACCAGGTCTCCCTTTAAGTGGATGCATCAGTATATTTCATTTGCGAAGCTGGGAGCAGCTGTCTGCTGCTCAAGGCCGCAATCTGATTGATTGCTCCACATGACGACTGCTTCGACTCAAGCTCTAAAGTCGCAACCCCTTAAGCTCCACCCATGTCCTACATGCTGCACTGGATGTATTTTATGGTATGTTATAGACCGCGTCAGCCCTCTTTGCTGGAACAAGCCACGCTCGTCACTCCAGGATCGTTTCACCTTGCGAGACGAGAAGCTATACATTGCATTCGCTATGTGATGTATACTGCTTCAAGTAGGTTGTATGATAGGATATTTACGACATGATATGCTGAATATGCTGATATCGCTAGTGCCAGGTTTTGGTACAACAGGCTTCTCACTCGGCTTGGGCTTCGCAAGTGCTGTGGGACGTATCATGTTGTTAGAGTATAAATCAAACCCTTAAATCAAAGGGGAAAAGGAGGGACCCTTAATGGGAACCCCCACCCTATAATGGGCTTTGTAATGGGTATATAATAGCTATATTAAGGGTATAAGTCAAACCCCAAACCCCATACCCTGAGGCCCTAAACCGTCTGCAGAGACAGTGAGGCTCTGGTGGGCGGTACTCTGGAAAGCCATGTCAGCAGTACCAAACTCGAAAGTATGAGAAGACGATTGCAAACGATGTATAAGCCCTGGTATCAATATGAAATGTTCAAGCTCTGTGTTAGGCCCCCAAACCAACCCCTAATATGAATATGCATATGACCCAGTAGAACTAGAAAACTCAAAAATGATATACATGTATGTAGAATAAGTATATACTACAAGAACATGTGTGTATATATATATATATACATATATATATATATATATATATCTATATCCATGCACATATACATACACACATACAGAAAAGTGTGTGTATATATATATATATATATACCCATGAACTTCTGTGAATGCATGTATACTCATAAAGTTACAGAAAGCATCACACACATATGAATACCTATATATACATGTATACATCTGCATATATGCATGCAAAGCATTTGGGGCCTTGTAAAGGTCGTCCAAGAGCCTCGAGGCATTGATGGCGCCCAGGTCCTGCGAGGCTTCTACCGGGAGGATCATGGCACTTAGTAAGTAAGGTTATAAGTACCCTAATGGGGGTTATAAGTGTAGTTACCTTAATTATCACCCGAGTTACTAAGTCCCATGACCCTTCAAGTAGGAGTTGTGGCTTCTGGTGACATCTTTTCATGGTGTCTCGTGTCAGAGTCCTGGGCCTAGGGTTCAGTCAAGGTTTCTCGGTTTACGGGTTTAACTGAAGTTCAGGCTTATTGCTGGTAGGACTGATGCAACAGCAAAACAAGGAACAGAGACCATCAAGAATCACGATAGAAAGGATGATCTTCCCAAGCAACTTGTGATGCGAGTTTGCTCGTGATTCTGGCACTTACGATAAGAAGTCAAATCCAAGCTCCATGAAGGCTGCATGAGAATGAATACTTGGAAGGTAGACCGTCGGGGGCGCTCGAGGTCTACATGCCTGAAAGCACAGGCACAGGCATTCCAAACTCGCCGCAAACCAATAAACCTCACGGTATAGGTTGAGTTCCTTTACATCACCGAGTGCCGCGAGACGCTCGGACTCGAAGATAGCAATATACTTACACTTTTTGCATCCGGTTGAACACAGAGAAATCGTGACAGACTGCTGTCCATTTCACCGTGAGAGATAAGATACTCATGTAATATCAGACGTGAGAGATAAGATACCCAGCTAATATCGGAGTATATACTACTCACATGAACCTATAGAAGGAGGACTGTAACAGCATGCACTCTTTGCCTTGGGATTCACAATGTTGTGAGTTAGTTGGATCAATGTAAGCGTTGTTCATTGCAGTAAACCACGATAAGCTACAAAGCATGTAGGGGTATTGAAAGAACAAGATGAGCGTCAATTTCAATCCAGCTTCACCATGCAGCTGTAATTGTTCTCCCCATACTTGTTGCGTTGCCAGCACAAGAACGACAGCCGATGTGCAAGATCTCGCAACAAAATGCCTCTGATGCAAAAGCAAGGCGATTTTTCCATGTGCGGCGCAGCTGTGTCCCTGGGTGCACATGACACCCCGCTGGACGAACAAGCATTTCTTTCACTCGAAAGCAAGAGACTCTGTTTACGAATGCTATTGGTTTGCCACTGGCTACCACCCACTTCTTAAACGACCCCAAAATCATAAACCCAAAACCCCCAGTCATAAGCCCAAGACCAGCAAAGTTGGTAGATTTCACACAGTTGCATAGTTCTTTCCAAAAGATGGGCCCGTCTCGGCGCTCCAGCCGAGCCGGTTCAAAACATTCAAGCGGTCAGCCGTTCACGAGCTTCCGATTCTTTGGGTTTTTCGGCTTTGGGGTTTAGGGTTGAGGGGTTCGGAGTTTGGGGTTGGACAGTCTAGAGGCTTTAAGGGTTTGGGGGTTTCAAGGCTTCCAAGCAGAGGATAGAGACTTTGGGGGTTGGTGCTATCAAATTGCAGAAGCAAAAGCCGAACGACGAGCGTGGTTGTCATGAAAGTGCGACTAATTAGGTGTTGAATAAGTGAACAGACTAGTTAGTAGTCACAAAGAGTTCATACTTAGCGAACGAACAAGTACGCTAAAACGCACACCATTGTAACAACTCATGTAGAGATTTCGTAGGCGTGTACTCATGAACGGCCAACTTCTCTTCGCAATCTAACTAGGTTAAACGATGGTAGGAGCAGAGCCGGAGACCGTTTGCCGTATCATGCTGCAAAAATAATCCCCAAATCCTAACCTTCAAAACCATAGCTGCATCAGGTTTCAAAAATTCTGCTGTGCTCCTGTGACTTTTTGCGCGACCTACTTGATCTCACATGCTTCAAAGGCCCTGGCTTGCAGAGGCAAGCCAAGAGACAGCCCCGTTTCAGGAGTTGCGACCTGTGATCGCAAGCGGTCAGGGTTTAGGGTTTAGGGTTCAAAGCCAACGGCCCTTGATTTAGGAATGCACCTGAAATTACAAGCTCAAGATTGTGAGCCAAGGTATAGGCCTACATTGACGGTCCTTCGACCCCGCACTCAGTGTCCTGGTTCAATAGCAAAATGCTACGCATGGTGCCTACACAATCACAAAAACAAACACTGAACCCTAAACCCCAAACCCCAACAAAAACGCCACGACAAGGGCCAAGAGCGATGCAAGACCGAGCTGAGTGGCCAACGGTCCGAGGCACAAAATCCTTACTAGGATACCCAGTAACCTAAGAATAAAAAGGCCTCTCTTTTTGAAATTGGGTAACTTTATAAGGAACCTAGGACTACAAAAAGGGAATAAGGGTACTACTGGGCATCCTAGCTAAGAGAGGGGCCTGAATAATTAGACTTGGGGCCTCTTCTATTTTAAGTGTAATCAGGAACCCCCAAAATAGTATTGGCAATTATTTAGGCCCCTATAGTGCGCTGCTACACCTTCTGCAGCAGAGCAGGAAACTGTGAATCCTCCATCGAAGCCCAAACTTAGCGCTCGGCTGATGGTGGTGCCTTGCTTTCCCGTGGAGGCTGCCGAAAACAGCTCCTTCAAATGGAGACGGATGGCACAGACGTCTATTTCCGCTGCTGTCGGTGCCTGATGCCATGGCCGTGGTGGCAGCAGCAGAGGCAGTGGCAATGGGTGATGGCGGTGTTCTGGTTGTTGTTCTTTTCAGAAATAGTTTTGCTGTTGCTATTCCCGCTGATGTTGTTCACGATTTTGTTGCTCCTGCTGCTAGTGCGCCGGTGCCGGTGCCGGTAATGGTGCTGGTACTGGCACTGTTGCTGTTGCTGGTCTTGTTGTAGTTGTTATTGCTGGTTCTGGTGGTGCTGGCGCTGGTACTGGTGCGGGTGCTGGTGCCGGTGCATGTGCTGGTGCACGTGCTGGTGCATGCGTTGGTGCTGGTGTTGTGCTGGAGCATACCACATTTTCGCTTTAGGTCGAATCATCTGGTGCTAGAGGCAGATGTGTTCGCATTGGCTGGGCAGAAGATTTGATTGTAGGGCTTGATTGCCCTCTGCGAAAGACATCCTGCACAAGGTCCTCGATCAGCGCATGAGGTCTTCGGCCGTCGATGATGTGCGTAGCCTGCACACCTCAGGCACCAGATTCACTTCGCAAACCCACCCAGACGTAGCACTGTAGACCCTGATTAAATTTAATGAAGCCCTCCATATTGAAAGAGAATCTAGAAGGGTTCCGAATAATTAATCATTGATAAGGCCCTTCAAAGAAGAAAGGCTGCATTTGACCCGGGATCTAGATTCCCGTGTATTTGAACCCTGGTGTCAGGCCCCGATCCTTCCAGCAGAAATGGCCGGAGCCCGGAAGCAAAAGAACCAACACAACACCAAAGTTATTGAGACCCTAGTTGCTTCCCTGAGCTCTGAACCGACCTCCCTTTTTCCAAAAAGCGTTGAGAGAACTTCAAAAGACCTCTCTATTTCCATTATGTAACCAATAAGACTCTGCAAATAGCTCAATCCACCGAAGCCGCCCCAGGTATTTGATCTTGTATATACCCAAACATAGGTTTTCAAGAGTATGATATGTAGCAGCATCATCGAAGTGCCGAATAGCTACTGATTCCTACTGTAGAGAGCTTGTTACTAACAGAGTTATGTAGTGACAGGGCATGCCACATCGTAACTTCGTCGAGCACCCCCCAACCCCCAAGGATCTGGCCATCCTTGATGGCACTCAGGCAGCAGGTCACTTTTGGAATCATCCCACCGGCCTGGGACAGTCTGGGCTTTGTTTGAGTCACTAGAACATCGTTCGCCAATGCCTGAACCCCTTTGGGCACCGTTTCGACTAAGGCTCCAACAACGATGCCCTCGTCGATGAGCCTGAGTCCCACGACTTATTGGCACTCGGTCGGACAACGGCTGCCAGGTACCCTGTCTCGAGCTCGCCTCCTAAACCCCAAACCCTACAAGCCTGTTCCAACCCCTGGCAGGCCTTGCAGTCAGACAAAGCGATCTCAAACCAGGCTGCTGGCAGCTTTGGCTTGCCGAGTCTGTTCATGGTTTAGGGATTTAGGGGCTTAGGGTTTGAGAGCTTAGTGGTTTAGGGGCTTAGGGTTTAGGGCTTAGGGGTTCAGGATTTAGGGTTTAGAGCTTCGGGGTCCAAGATTTCGGGTTTAGAGCTTAGGGGTTTAGGATTTAGTTTTTAGAGCTTAAGGGTTTAGGTTTTGGGTTGACGGGTTTGGGGCTTGAGGCCTGATGGTGGCCCTTGCCCCCTGGGTCTGCCTGGGGACCCAAAACCGAAACTCCCAATAGCCCGAACAAAACCCCAGAACCCTTAAAGGCCGACCCAGTACACCCCTCAAGCCGCAAAACGAACCCTCACAAACCCCAATGCAGCCCCAAAGCCGAACAAACACAAGCCTAACAAGCCTGCAACAGACCCTTCTAAAAGTGTACTGAGGCCCTAAACCCATAACCCCAACGGGTCGTAACGGACCCTGAACAAAAATCCTGAAGCCAGGCGGCTTCGAAGCCCCGGTCTCATCCACCTCGGAAATGAGGGAGCCGGAATCCTCGAGATAGGGGATGCCCCCCACGCGGATTGGCTTGGGGTTTAGGGTTTAGGGGTTTAGGGTTTAGGACTTTGGGGTTTAGGGTTTAGGGGTTTAGGGTTTAGGACTTTGAGGTTTAGGGTTTAGGGGTTTGGGGTTTAGGACTTTGAGGTTTAGGGTTTAGGGGTTTGGGGGTTAGGGGTTTATAGGGTTTAGAGGTTTAGAGGTTTAGGGGAGCTTTTGGGGTTAGGGGTTTCCTGTAGGGCCTGGGATTTAGGGTTTTAGGGGTCACAGGGGCCGGAGAGCTTCGAACAGGCTGTCGGAGTATATTACAGTCTAGACCCAAGAGTAACCTAGGAATAAAAAGGGTGCCCTTTTTGGTTTAAAGAGGGTTATAAGGGAACCTGAACCCTAAAAAAGGGAATAAGGGCCTAACCCTTGTAGGAAAGCATTCGTAGTCATTCAGGCTTCTAGTTTGTCGGTGTTAGGTGGGTTGGGGGTTAGGGGGTCGGGGGCTTGCGCTTGGGT